CTATTTGTAGGCTACCCGAAAGGCTCTGTGGGTTACCTTTTCTATGACCCAAGTGAGCAGAAGGTGTTCTGTAGCCAGAATGCATAATTCTTGGAAACCGATTAAATCCTGGACTCCCATCGTCAGGAAGTAGTTCTTGATGAGGAGAGTTCAGGAGCAGTGGGAGATGTCCCACAAGTTCCAGGTAGTGACCAACCTAGAAGATCCATGCGGGTATCCAGGCCACCAATCCGTTATGGTTATGACCAGGATAGTTACCTGGTGGAAACATTGACTAGTGAAGAGGATCCCGTGACTTACGCGGAAGCTATGTTGGACATAGATTCCCAGAAGTGGGTGGAGGCCATGAGAGCTGAGATGGGCTCAATGGAGACCAACGGAGTCTGGACTCTAGAAGAACCGCCCTCCGGGGTAAAAGCAATTGGTTGCAAATGGATCTATAAGAGGAAGAAGGGCACCGATGGTAGGGTTGAGACCTACAAAGCTTTTTCTGGTGGCGAAAGGATACACTCAGAAAGAGAACATCGATTATGAGGAAACATTTTCGCCTGTGGTCATGCTTAAATACATTAGGATCCTGCTAGCCATAGCAGCATACCATGACTATGAGATTTGGCAAATGGATGTCAAAACTGCATTCCTGAATGGAGATCTTACTGAAGATATCTATATGCAGTAGCCGTAAGGCTTCATTGCTGCTGGTCAGGAACACATGATATGTAAACTTAACAGATCCATTTATGGACTTAAGCAAGCTTCTAGAAGTTGGAACATCAATTTTGACTCTGCTGTCAAATCGTTTGACTTCAAGTAGAATCTGGATGAGCTCTGTGTTTACAGAAAATCCAGTGAGGATAAGGTTACTTTCTAGGTTCTGTATGTAGATGACATTCTACTCATTCAGAATGATGTAGGAATGTTAACTACGGTGAAAGTATGGTTTTCGCAGCAATTCTCCACGAAAGATCTTGGAGAAGCCTCCTATATACTGGGTCTTTGACTCTATAGAGATAGATCGAAGTGGATAATAGGATTATCCCAATCTTCTTACATTGACAAAATAGTCAAAAGATATAGCATGGAGAGCTCCAAGAAAGGAAATGTTCCTTTCAGGCACGGAGTCACTCTCTCCAAGAAGATGTCTCCCAAGACTTCTGAGGATATTGAGGTCATGAAGGACATTCCCTATGCCTCTGCCGTAGGGAGCATCATGTATGCCATGTTGTGCACTCGCCCCGACATTGCTCAGGCAGTGAGTGTGGTAAGCAGATTCCAAGCCAACCCAGGGCAGGAGCATTGGACCGCTGTGAAAAATATACTCAAATACCTATGAAGGACAAAATAGTTTTGTCTGGTATTTGATAGTAGTTCACTACAGATCCAAGGGTATACTGATGCCGATTTCCAGTCGGATCCAGATGATAGAAAGTCTACATCTAGATATGTTTTCATGATAGGCCCGTATGTTGTTTGCTGGAAAAATAGTAAACAGGGGTCCACCACAGACTCCACAACTGAAGTCGAATACATTGCCACAAGCAAGGCTGCCAAAGAAGTCATGTGGATGAAGAAGTTCGTTCACGAGTTGGGAGTAGTTCCATCTAGCACATCACCCATCCTGTTGTTGTGTAACAACACAACAATTGAGCAATTGCTCAGGCTAAGGAGCCACGAGAAAGCACATCGAGAGGAAGTACCACGTACTGCGGAAGATTGTTGGTAGAGGGGACGTCTTGATTCAGAAGGTAGCATCAACGGAAAATGTAGTAGACCCATTGATGAAGCCAGTATCACAGAAAGTGTTTGAGAAACACGTGGAAAGCATGGGACTCCGGCTTATACGAGATTGGACCTAAGTGCAAGTGGGAGCTGTTAGATAGTCTTTGTATGCCCTTAGCTTCAATCAGAATGATGTACTTTTGATGTTTATTGTAAATGAATAAAGTGCATATTTGATTCATGTTCTTGTGGTTTGTTTCTATGTTATACCCTTAAACTAGACACTTAATGAGACTCGTGTTAGTTTAGATTGTTCACAGCTGGTGGGTCGGTCTGGGGAAACCTATCCTGATAAGGCTGACACTGATGTGCCACCAAGTCGGTTGGGGTGACCTGTCTCAGCCGCCAGGGTGAGACCCAAGGCACATGCAGTATAGGATTAATTAAATCTTTGAACCGGACCAAATTTCCAGTATTGCCTTGGACCTTGGAGATTAATGGACAAAACTGGAAAGTTACACTTGACCCCTAGACTCGATTCTGATACTGCACTAGGTGTCAGATTGGGCTGTCTTTGATATGCCAATCAGTGAGATCCTTAGCGGGGGTCAAAACCTGGGTATGTTGGGACAGTCTGAGAATTCATCTGAGTTGGCGATCATAGTGACAGGATCAGCCCCTTTGTCAAATAAAGGTAATGATCGGGGATGCACTCTCTCTGATGGAAACCAAGACTGCCGGCAGTCGATTTCAATCATTGAGATTTGTTTTGCAAAAAATATTTTATATGAGATATAAAAGTATATAAATATTACGGTTTCTAAAATGTTTGCAAAAGGTTTTAATTCCCGGGATCCATATAAGCAAAGAGTGCAACACTGTTCCTTGCAACCAAGGAAGAGGTCCTCTCTTGTCGGGCAGTATTTGATCATTATGGGCTGAAAGGTTAAGTGTAAGGCCACTGAGGGTAATGCCTGATGGGCTAATCTTGCATCTGCCCACAGTCCTTGGGTTTTTATAAGGTGGCTTGGCCTAGGGACCACTTAATGTAAGTGTTGGGCCTAATAGAAGCCCATGTGATGGGTTTCAAGGGGTGCACTGTCCACAACAGTGTATTCGGCCAGGCCTTGTAACTAAGGCTGGGCCGAACCCATGTGGCTGATGTGTAGATCAATGCTTGGGTTCCACGCCATACAAAGAAGCCCAACTGGGTAGCAGTTTGGAAGCAGTTTTGAGCACATAGACTTATTGGGCCTGAAGCCCATTTCAAACTGGCCTAATTTGTTTAGTTAAATAGATGAGGCGGATCTGGGATTAAATCAGCAAATAGGATAGAGTCCTACCCTATCCACTCAGAAAGTTCAGATCTGAATTCAGATCTGGAAACCTCCTGATAATATCAGGAGAAGGCTGATCTAATCTGCATATAAGATAAGGGTTTTATCCTTATCACTTAAAGAGAGTCCAAATTCAGATAATGATCTAAATTAGGAAACTCCTAATAAGATCAGGAGTTGGTCTCTTTAAGCTTATAAAAGCAGGAGTGGGCAAACCATCCAAACCATCCCAAAAGTTCTAGAGATACTAGATCTCGAATTATAGAGAGAAGAATACACTGTGTGACTGCGCCTTCTCCCTGTGATCCCTTCCTACCGCCGCCATACTGCCAGTTCGTTCACCAACATTGTAGGAGTGGTCAAGATTGGATTTTTATATCAGTCTTGCTAAAAGGCTGATAGGAAGTTGTGCTCACTGCCTCCATTGAAATCTTGCTGAAGAATTCGGTTCGTGGGACGGACCCTGCTGATTCTACTCCTCCATCCACTGTGTCATCTTCAGTGGGAGCAGTCTTTGGTGACCATCTTTGGACGTGAACACCTCCATTGAGAGATATTATTTCTCTGTATCAGATATATCTCTCTCCTACTGTTTCGTTTCAAATCTGGTTCAGTTTATGGTTCAAGATTGGTCCTTGAAAAATATGATTTTTCTAAAATAGGGAATACGATTCCTAGTTGAAGGGAGATAAATTTTTTGAAATTCGCCCACCCTAATCTACACCTTTTGGGCATCCATGTGATGGATTTGACATCCCTTCACCCTATGTACTGCATCATCCTCCCCCTATATGTATTAAGATGAGTCTTTGAAAACCAACTTTGTAAATGTTTACTCAGTTGGTGTGAATCCCGTACAACATAGATCCATCATGAGGATTTCATAATTTGGATAAAAAATCCTTTGAACTTGTTCAACAAATTGACAATTGACTAGAATATGGTCTTTACCCTCCACCTAGCCACAGAATGGTCAGTTCTGGTCGATGGATAGCCATCTTTCTACCAGAATTTTCTAGGTTGGAATCTTGTTTTGAATGAGTAGCCAAAGGAATATTTTAATTTTTTCAATGCAGAGGAATAAGCGACAACTCTTTATTAGCTTAATCATCTCATCATTTGAATTATTGTTATTATCTCTCAAGAAGTTATAGGTCGACTTCGCAAAGGTTTACCACTTGGACATAGTCCCTACACCTTCACATCTTCTCTGTTCTTGAGGGGATGTGAATTGCTACTATCTTTTTTATGCAATCCTCAAGGACTGTTGCTTTCAATATTTTGAGGTCCTACCATATGTTGTTCCTATCAATGAAGTCTCCCACTCTTAGGTTGAGTTTTCTAGTATCTGAGCCCTCTGAAAACAAATTTCTTTTAGCAGTGTTTCCTGGACCCAATTATCCTTCCAGAATTTGCAAGTATTTCCATTACCAATTCTCCACCTTAGACCCTTCTTAATATGTTCTTTAACTTGATTTATTTTCCATGCCCATGAACTTGCTTTTGGGGCTTTATGATGTAAAAAATCATCATCCAGGTATTTTCTCTTCATTACTTGTACCCAAAGATTGTTATTATCCGTCATAACTTTCCTATCCTAGCTTCATAAGATTAGTTTGGTTTATTTGGACTCATTCAGCTTATATTTTGCTTTTGGGCACCACAATGTTGTGGTTTCTCAAAGAACCATTCAACCTAAAAGCTTAAGCTTCTCCTTACACGAAAGCCCATTGGGCTTAAAGCGTAAACAAGCACAGACCCACCCATACCTTGTGTTGAAACTTATTTAATTATAATGGGGGTAATGCGGATTGAACACTAGACCACTTGGTCAAAATGGCTCTAATACCTTTTCAAAAAACTATTCAACCTAAAAGCTTAAGCTGTTAGGTGAGGTCCTCGAATAGGTTGATATTCTCTAACATGGTTCATTTGGTACTTCAGAAACAAAAGGGTTTTTGATGAGAAAGAGTTTGATCCAACCTCAACCATTTTGCAATCTAAAGCTCATGTCGAAGCAATGCTCCTCCATGCTAGATCAGCCAACACCTTTGAGAATCTGGTAACCAGTAATTCCACCCAAAATCCCCATTGGATCAGACCCCTTCACCAAATAGTTAAAATTAACGTTGATGGTACTATCAGTCCAAATTCTGTTGGCATTGAGATTATGATTCCTGAAACTTTTGGTTCACATATTTACTCCCGAGCAGTGCTCTCCCAGTGTGTTTATCCCTACAAGCTGAAGCTTGTGCTTTCTATCATGGTTTGGTGATGGCCTCTGAATTGACATTGCATAATGTAATCTATGAAGGTGATGCAACACCAATTGTCAAGTTCCTATTGGTGTACTCAGCTAAGCACCATGGTATTTACACACCATAATAGTTGATTGTAGGAACTTAATGGCAAACACACCATTCATCTCAGTCAACCATGTTAATAGATCGGCTAATGCTATTGCACATCGGATAGCTAAACATGCCTTGAACTGTACTAGGATTTGTACCTGGCCAATGTGTCTAGAATTGCTTTCAACTATTATTGATGCCAATGTGCTTCTTTCTGAGATGAACGAATGGTTAGTGTTTTGCACCTCGAAAAAAAAGTACCTTTGTAATGTGTTGATCAGACCATCAATTATAAACTACTAACATTGGGAACATAAGGAAAGAGAGAGAAGGAAAAGGAGTTGTGACGACCCTGCATTTCAAGGGTGATGTAAGGGATCGAGAGTTGGTGAATTAAAGATTCTTTGTAAGAGGCAACCTAACAGGAGGGTGATGTGCACAATGAAGTTGGTGAAGGGTGGAGAGTGTTAGAGAATAAACATATTCAAGGACCCCACTTAACAACTTAAGCTTTTAGGTTTAATGGTTCTCTGAGATGGTATTAGAGCCACTTTGACCAAGTTGTTTAGTGTTTGATTCTCGTCACTCCTATGGGTGCATGAAAAGTGGAGAAAATGTTATAGAACAAAAGATTTACATGCAACAGATTGAAGTAAGATAGAGAGCAAAAACCAAAGCAAGAGAATGGCTGAAAATCTTCTTCTGTACACTTTTACAACTAACCTAGGTTTATAAAAAGTAGAAAGGACCCAACTAAAGTTACCTTTTACATGTTGTAGAAAATGACAATAAAAAATAATAACTTTCTAGAACATTAACTATAACACTCTCCCCCTTAATGTGTTGTTGTTGGACTCCTAATGCTTCTCTTAATTCTTTAAACTTTTCTCTTGCCAATGGCTTTGTGAAAATATCAGCTAATTGCTCGAGTCCTGCAATACACTAGTTCATATTCTCCATGTTCAGTGGCATCTCGAATGAAGTGATGTTTGAGAGCAATTTTCTTGGTTCTGCGATGATAACAAAGGTTCTTTGACATAGTAATGGCAGATTTTTTGTTACAATGGATCACCATAGCATTCTCTTGCTTCTCACTAATATCTTCCGTAATTCTCCTAAGCCAAATTGTTTGAGATGTTGCCATTGAAGCTGAAACATACTCTGCTTCTGTTGAAGATTGAGCCACTGATTTTTGCTTCTTTAAGCACCAAGAAAACACACCACCACCAATAGAAAAACAATAACCAGAGGTGTTCTTCATGTCATCAGCACATCCTCCCCAATCATTGTCACAAAAGCCAATCAATCTCACTTCATTTCCTTTGTCATATTTAATTCCATAATCCATGGTGCATTGTACATACCTTAACACTCTTTTTATAATTACAAAATGAATGTGATTGGGATTGATCATAAATCTGGACAGTAAACTTGCAATAAACATGATGTCTGATCTTGTAGCAGTGAGATAAAATAAGTTTCCAACCAAGCTTCTATAAAATGTTTCATCCACCTTCTTACCACCATCTTCCTTCATTAATTTCTCATTGACAACCAGTGGAGTAGCTACAGGTTTACATCCAAATATTCTGACTTTTTTGAAAACTTTTTCATCATACTTACTTTGACAAATGAATACACCATCATCACCTTGATAAATTTCAATACTAAGAAAGTGATGTAACAGTTCTATATCACTCATTTCATATTTTTTCACCATTTCATTTTTGAAATCTTCAATCATTTTCATATTGTTTCTAGTGAAAACCAAATCATCAACATAAAGAGCAACAATAAGAACATCATCCATAACTTATTTCTTCACATACAACGTAGGTTCACTCTTGCTTTTCATGAACCCTTTCTCAGCAAAGTAGGCATCAATTTGGCTATACCATGCTCTTGGTGCTTGTTTTAACCCATACAGAGCCTTCTTCAACTTGTACACCTTTTCTTCTTTGCCTTGAATCACAAAGCCTTTTGGCTGTTCTTCATACACATTTTCTTTTAATTCTCCATTCAATAAATCTGATTTAACATCAAGTTTCCATAACAACCAACCTTTGTGAGTTGCTAGTGTAATGAGAGATCTAATTGTATGCAACTATGCTACAGGAGCAAAGGTTTCATAGTAATCAACACCATACTGTTTTGCATAGCCCTTAGCAACCATCTTTACTTCGTTTCTTTGCACAGAACCATCACAATTGTGCTTCACTTTGTAAACCCAGTTATCACCAATCACTTCTTTGTTGTTTGGTCTATCAATCAACTTCCATGTTTTATTTTTTTCTATGATAGAAACTTCCACTTCCATTGTTTATTTTTTTTTCAATCTTCTTTTTTAGCAGCTTCTTCAAAGATTTCTAGTTCCATAACACCAAAATTGCACCTTGCATAAACATCACTCAAGCTCCTCATTTTTCTTAGAATTGAGCTAGATGAAGATGAACTTGAACTTGAAAATGATTGAGAAGTTCTTTCATCATTTTGAGTCGTATTCTCTTCCAAATTAGACACAGGAACATGTTCTTCTTCAATTTTTTCTTACTCCCAATTCCAAACCAACTTTCTTACCAAACAACACATCTCTACTAATAACCATCTCATTTGTTTTCAAACTATACAACTTATAACCCTTTGACATAGATCTATAGCCAACAAAAATACACTTCTCACTTGTATCATCAAGCTTTGATCTCTTCTCTTTAGGAATTTGGGAATAGCACACACTACCAAACACTTTCAAATGTCTAATTGATGGTTTCCTTCCACTCCAAGCTTCCAATGGTGTCATTCCTTTAATAGCAATAGTGAGGCATCGATTCATCAAATACACAGTTGTGTTTATAGCTTTAGCCCAAAACTTTTTGGAAGTTTCTTCTCATGTATCATGGATTTAGTTATCTCCATCATAGTTTGGTTCCTCCTCTCCGATACTCCATTCTTTTGAGGAATATAACAGACTGTAAGTTTCCTTTCATGCCTTCACCTTCACAAAATTTATCAAATTCATTTCAAGTGTATTCCTTACCACGATCACTTCTCAATTTTTTATTGTAAGAACGACTTTGTTTCTCAACAAGATGTTTAAATTTCTTAAAAATAGTAAGCACGTCAGATTTTTCTCTTATAAAATAAACCCAAGCCATGCAAGCATAATCATCAATAAAGAGAATGAAATACCTATTTTGGGAATGAGAAGGAATCCTCATGGGTCCACACATATCGGTATGAACTAATTCAAGCATTTTGTTGGCTCTCCATGCAACTACTTTTGGAAATGGTTGTCGGTGATGCTTTCCTAGTGCACAACCTTCACAAACTTCATGTTTTTCTTCAATGTTTGGAAGTCCTTGAACCATCTCCTTTTGTGATAACAATTTCAGCCCCTTGAAATTTAGGTGGCCAAATCTTCTATGCCAGAGCCAATATTAATTAATCTCCTTGACATTCATAGCAACCTTTCTTACGTAATTAAACACTAGTCAAAGTTTCTATTTGTCTTTATTTTCACATTTTTCACCACATACTTCTCATGATCCTAAATGGTACAACCAAGATCTTCAAAATGAAATGAATAACCATGCTCCAAAAGCTATCCAACACTAAGAAGATTCTCATTCAATTCAGCTATAAATAACACATCATGTACAAATTTTCTTCCCTTTGTTTCAACACCAATTATGCCTTTGCCTTTTATTTCAACAATTTCTCCATTTCCCAACTTCACTTTTGAGCTAAATGTGTGTCCATGTCAAGAAAAATATTGGGTGCCCTGTCATATGATATCTACACCCCTTGTCCAAGAATCACTCATCACCATTTTCCTCCGTGGCACTTTGACATGCATAAAATAAATTCCCTTCATCTTCTTTTTCTTCTATAAAATTTGTTTGTTGATTGCTTTTCAATCTACAATCTTTTTGTAGATGCCTAATGTAGGCACACATGTGTCGGGTGGCACGGGTCAGAGCAGAACCAATCAATGAATGCACGCTGCCTTGCTCAGTAGGTTTCGAGGAGCCAATGGCGTGAGGTCACATAGCGGCCTTAAATGGTTGTGCTCCCAGCATACAGACTCCATCTTGACCATCTGGGCCCTGCAACCCCCAGGTGACCTCAAGTATAAATAAGAGGTTACCCCCTCCAGGTAAAGGATCAAATACTTGAGCTTTCTCACTAGCACTTGAGATCTATTTCTCTCCTATGACCTCGTCTGGGTGCTCGCACCTCAGACCTCATCTTCTCATCACCTCGGTACTAACTTGACCATTGGAGTCTCCACCTCGGGTCTTCACTCGAGGCCTTTGTCGCTCTTGTCCTTGCAAAATTGACATCCTGGTCCTTGGTCACCATAGACGTACGACATAGCAAACCTTGGACCTCGGACCTTGGGTCTCCATCACCTCGGACATTGGTTCTTGGCCACCTCAGTCCTTGGACCTCGGGCACCTCGGCCCCACCTGGGTTTAGGAATGAATAGACAATGTTGTCCTCGGCCAATCTGAGCCATTTGTGGGAAACATCGCTAAGACTTCCCTCAATTTACCTTAAAATCAAGCGAACATTCCTGAGCTCCAATCAGCATGGTATGGAACACTAGGAACAACCAAAATCTGTGTCCCCAAGTAGGAGGCCACATGAATTTGTGGGCCCACTAGCCTTCGGCTCCGTTGACTCCCATAGGGTTGAGCCCTCAGAATCCGGTAGTAGCCGATGTGCCAGCCAGCCAGCCACCCAGGAATGTGAGATCCCCTAGCTGAAGGGGGGAAGAATTGGCACAGTCCAGTGACTACTGCCAGAACTCCGAACAATACCATCCACACCGAAGAAGAGAGGTTTCTCAGGACGAAGGTGGGCAGTCCGGCCACCATAGCCCCCACTCAAGGGCTGAGGGCTGACGTCATGCCTCTCCCTCACGGGTCTTAGTCCTCTGAGACCTCCTGAACAACCGCTAGGCCAAAAGGAATGAACGCGGCCCCACATCCGATTACTTAGAGATTTAGGCCCATCCCCACCGAGTCTGTGAGGACCAGAATGTGGCATAGGCCCCCCTCGACCCGCTGATCGCGGACTTGTAAGCCCAACTCAGAGACATCAAGGATGAGCTTCGCCAAGTCAGAGAGAGCCAAGCTGAAGCCTCATCCAGCCAAATGAAGGAAAGGGAGATCCATCATATGGATGGCTAAACCATGCCGGGTGGCTGGGCGAAAAATCAAAAATTTCTTTTCTCCCTTCCGAGAATCGTATTCTCAGTTTTAGAAACATTGCATTTTCCAAGGATCGTTCTTGATCCAAATTGGACCATATCTGAAACCAAAAGAAAGTGAGAGCAATACCTAATATGGAATCCATACGTATAGCTCCCAAAGTAGGTGCTCACGCACAAAGAGGGTACCAAAACCCGCTTCCACTGAACATGGCATAGCTTGAGATGAAGTAAGTTCAGCAATGCAGTCCTTCAACAAGAACTACAATCTAACAGCTTGGATCAGGCAATGGAGGTGAGCATGAATTCCGATTTGATTTTTCTTGGAAAATCAGAATCAAGAACTGATCTTTATAAGTTCAAGAATGGAGATCGAACAGGGTATATGGCGGCAAGAGCAGAAGGAGGGGGAGAACTGAGAGTAGTGTGTAAAACTTGGAGCAGTTCGCCCTCCTCTATTTAAATAGCTTAAAGAGCTGCACTCCTAATCCAATTAGGAGCTTCCTGAACCAAATCTTTATTTGGATTTGGACTCTTTAAGTGGATAAGGCTTATCCTTTTATCCTTATTTGTTGATCCAAACCCATATCCATACCCAAATTCGCCCAAGCTGATTAATCCAATTAATCTTTGGGATTTAGGCCCATTAAGCAGGTGGCACACATCCCTTATTAATTGCTAGCTAATTTGGCTCTTTGTATGGTGTGGGACCCTAACATTGATTTTCATAAAAGCCATAAGGGTTCAGTCTAGCTTCTTGTGACAAAGCCTGGCCAAATTCACTACTAAACACAGTGAACCCCTGAGTCCACCAGTATGGGCTCTTAATGAGTTCAACATTTACACTAAATGGTCCTTAAGTCCAGCCATCTTATGAAGGCCCAAGGACTATGGTCTTAAGTGAGATTAGCCCATCAAGTATTGATGAGGGGCATTTTGGTCACCCCACACAATTATGGACACATGGATGCTGGTGATAACGCAACGTCCAACATAACAGAGCAGCTTGCCAAAGTGACATGTAGCAGTCAGCATCAGGTACGTGGCCGAGCTAGAGCGAGCTCGCCCCACAACTCGCCCAAAATCGACCCACGCGTTGTGCCCGCTCAAACACTATTACCGCGACTACAAGAATAGCTCGTTGAACCGTATGCCGCAGGACTTGTGGGCGACACATAACTGCTGTGTAAATCTAGCAACTGACACCTTGATGTGCCTAAAAATAAGGAAATAACTCCACAAAGAGCTCAAGACAGTTACCTGAGTCCAGGAGCCTATATAAGACGTCTAAATCCACCCAAAAAGGTATGCACATTGATACTCTCAAGCTCCCTTACATTTTCAAAGATTACTCCTAGACTTCACTAACTTAAGCATTGGAGTGCCCTCCCCGGGTAAAAGCTACCTGGGCACTCTCACCTTCTTCACTTTTTACAGCTCGCTTCTGTTCGGATACCCAGCTCGTAGCTCGTCCACATAGCTCAACCCAGTCAGATTGCTTCCAGTCA